CCAGCCATCTAGCTCCTCATATCGCCAGACCTAGAAACAGAGCGTCGCAACCCGTACCCCCCCACAGAAAGAGTAGGGGTCGGGGTGACGGTCTCGGTCGGGGGCTTCCAGACAGAAAGTGGATCTGTCTGTGGATTCTGTCTAAGAAGACCTCGGCCAAGCTTCAGGGCTCCGAAGTAACTCCTCTAGCCACACCAGAGGCCAGTCTCGAGAGGCTGGTTCCCTTAGTAGACTTTCTGGCAGCGTGGAAACTTCTGCCAAATGTCACACAATGGGTCCTGCAGACTACAGAATTTAATTCGGTTCTCGACCACCTTGTTTTTTTGGAACAAGAAGTAGACACTCTCTTGAGGAAGGAGGCCGTAGAACGTGTTCCTCCTCTCTCGAGAGAGAGTCCGGGTTCTACAGCTGTTACTTCATCGTTCCGAAAAAGGATGGGGGGGTTGCATCCGATCATAGATCTGCATCTGCTGAACCGTGCTATCAAATGCCTTCGGTTCAAGATGCTCACTATCAAACAGATCATGTCTCAAATCAGGTCAGAGGACTGGTTTGTTACGATAGATCTCAAGGACGCATACTTCCATGTATCCATCCTTCCTCAGCACTGGAAGTTCCTCAGGTTCTTCCCTTTGGCCTGTCACTCTCACCCCGTACTTTCGCCAAGTGTGTGGATGCTGCTCTGGCTCCGCTGCGACTCCAGGGCATCCTCATACTCAACTACATGGACGATTGGTTGATACTAGCTCAATTGGAGCAGTTGGTGGCTCGGCATCGAGATGTCGTCCTCGCCCATATGAAAGAGCTGGGGTTAAGGCTAAACGCCAAGAAAAGTGTGCTTTCTCCACTACAGAGAACCACTTATCTAGGTGTGGTGTGGGACTCGATGGCGATGCAGGCACATCTGTCTCCTGCTCGTATCGAATCAATTCTCACAGCCATAAGGATAGTGAGAGAAGGCCAGTCACTCACTGTCAAACAGTTTCAGAGTCTGTTAGGACGTGGGTTTGGCGTTTCGGAGTTCGGATGAGCGTGCACACAAATCTTCTCACGGCTCGTGCGAGTTCTCATTCGCGTCTTCTGACTCTTTAATGTTTAAACGGCAAGGCTTAAATGAGTTTAGTTTAAAGTGTGCTGTTCAGGTCTCACATGCGTGCGTGCGTGCGCGCACTATCAACACCCGGGTGATGACGGCATCAATGACTGGTAATATTCCAGCATACGGCACTCGCATTGAACAAAGAGTGACAGGTTTGTCCAGGTTTTTTTTTTTTTCATCGTTGTTGTTGTTATGTATTGGGAAGCCAGAATGCATAGCCATCGACAGAAACATACATTAACCAAACTGTTTTATGTGTTGTTATTTTTAACAAACCATTTTACAGATGCGTTGTCATTTTTAAGTTGAACTGCGGTGCAAGTGCGTGCCGAACCGAGTGGAGAACCATATGGTTCGATTTTTTTACCGAGAACCTTTCCACCCCTATTTCTTACAAATACACAGCATTTCTCTTCACAAGACATTAATTGATGGACTAGAGTTAAGTAGATTGCTTGTGGATTTTTGTGATGTTTTTATCAGCTGTTTGAAGTCTTATTTTGACGGCACCCATTCACTGGAGAGGATCCACTGGTGAGCAATGCTAAATCTGTTCTGATGAAGAAACAAACTCATCTACTGTCCTGAGGGTAAATAAATTTTCAGCTCATTTTAATTTTGGGGTGGAACTAAACACTTCATGTTTACACATTGTGAGTGGGTGGTTATCACTCAACACATGAACTACCCACCAGGCCACATTAATATTTATGTTTTTATGTTTTACAGGAGAAAAAGAGATGGCTAAAGAACTAGAGAAACTGTATGGTCATATTGATGCTCTGGAGTTCTACCCAGCTCTTTTGCTAGAGAAGACACGACCTGGTGCGATATTTGGCGAAAGCATGGTGGAAATGGGGGCCCCATTTTCCCTAAAAGGCCTCATGGGAAATCCTATTTGCTCCCCTGAGTACTGGAAGCCCAGTACATTTGGGGGGAAGACAGGTTTTGATATAGTAAACTCTGCTACTTTGAAGAAACTGGTTTGCCTCAATACAAAATGGTGTCCTTATGTATCTTTCCATACTCCTCCATCAGATTACAAACAACAGAGGACATCTCACAGTGAACTTTAGCACAATGTACTTGTGGAATCTGTTTTAAATCACTGATCAAAAATTTGACTTCTATTTACAGATGTGAATGAAAACGAATTATCTTGTAAATCAGAAATGAATTAGTAATGACAATTATTTGAGTAGTTATTTGTAACAAGGTGACTGAAGAATGGATTTTCATAGTATTACAATATTATTAACATTTTTGGATTATGAAAGAGTGTTTATTACAACATACATGATAATTTTATGGATTTAATTGACCATTTGCTAAGCTCCACCATAAAAACATTACAGACCAATCCTGCTTAAGCAACTGTTGCCATCTGCCAGCTTTTGTTCTTTTATAATACAATGCCACAATACATTCCTGCCCACTTTATGAGCATATTTTACTGAAAATCATGCTGTTTATGGTAATCTCCTAACTAAAGAGGGTGGAACTTAACAAAAGATCAGTTAGAGAATTGACTAAAAGGTTGGTGATTTCTTGCTACCTACTTGATCAAAGCTTTAAAAAATAGTGTAACCTTATATCATCAGGATGATCCAGTCATATAGAAACGTTTTTTTACTTTGTTTACTGGCACTCATATTGCCAAACAACCATCTATCCATTTTCCAAACTGCTTGTCCTATGAAAGGTCGTTGTAGTCTATCCCATGGAAACACCCTGGACGGATGACCAGTCCATCACAGGCCAAATAAACATTTAGCTTTAATTCATTGTCAATAAATAAATAAAAAATAGTATTCCGTCCATTTTATGATGCTGAAAAATTTATTGTATCTGCTGCCTCATATCTGTTCTGTAAATTCTAATGCACTGTTCAACTTGAAATAAGTAATTTCTTGAGCTATGGATCTGTGATGGCCAGTTATTTTTTCTTTGTTACAGAGTGTTCATTGTTGTATTCATTTATGATCTTTGATATGAATGAATGTAACCTCATAATATTCCTGTTTTTACAAGCAAAATATATCCATTTGTAGCACCATTACTATGAGACTTTTCTCCAGTATGATGTAGTTTGTCAAAAATGCATGTCTGATCATTTACATAAGAGGTTAAAAGAAATAAAATGGCAAATCGTCTATTTTACAACAAAATGTTTAAATTGTAGTTAAATGGCTCTTTACCATTTCCAGCAATCTTAATAAAAACATTAATTTGTAGCCATTAACTAAGACAATGACACTTCACATTAATCTATCACACTATGATCTGTTCTGAATAAAATTATGTAAATGGCATGATACTTGTGTTTCAGCTTCTTATAACATGACTTCAAAAAGTCAACAAGAGACTTAGTTTTATTAATTGTATTTATTGGTAACTTTTACTTCTATGTAAAAGCAAAATACAACAGTTTGTTGCCCATGAAGTACAATACTCCCAATATCTTAAGATTAATGTTCAACAATACAAGTCACAGAAATAACTAATGGTAAGGTGGTTTAACCTTTGGCACGAGCGGAAGTAACAGTCGAGATGGTGCACAAATAAAACCTTTTTACAACTTTTAAGTTCTATTATCCCTTTGCATTTACTCTCCATTACTGTGGAGACCTTTTTCAACAATATTTTACATAATGCTATGGCTAGGTTTGTAGTAGTCATTTCTTATTTGAAGTGCTTAAAAAATACTGAATACTATAATTTTCAGAAATGCATTAATATATACATTTTATTACTCTTAAATACAGCATTATAAATCCCTTGGCATTAGAGGAAATACAGTGTTTATAAACTTGATGAATGATAAATGTTACCTGCAATTGTTCCCTGCGTCTGAATATGCGTACTTGCCTTCTGTGCAGTATTAATAGTATTAGTTGTATGTGGAGTACATATATATATACCTGTATATCATAGAGACCACAAAAGCTCAGGCTGGGGCTCTTTAAGATTTCAAGGTTGGTATCAATGCATGCAAATGAATGCATGACATTTTTCACATATTAAAATATCTTAGTAAAAATATATGAAGGTAAATACTGTATTGCTGTTACTATATGTTGTTATATTGGTGGATATAAATGATTAAATAATGCATAGAAATGATTAAATACTCTTTATGTTCATTGAATGAAAATGCCTTCATTATTCAAACTAGATTTAAACATTTTTAATCTGCTTGGGAACAATAGCTGTTTGGAAAAAATAGTGGTTCCTTTGATTTGAAAAAATATATATATCATCAATCAATCATATCAATAATAATAAGAAAATACACTTTTTTAAAGCTAACTCATAAATATTGAGATCAAATACAATTATCACATTTTGTCAAAAGACTGAAAAATATTTAAACATTTTTAGTTATATCGACCTTTCCTAATGCCACACCATAAAAAAAAAAAAGTTTGTAAAAGTGCTATGCTAAAAATCTGTTAATGGGTTAACTGTAAGATACCTTACCATATATGGTGAAAAACTGTAAATGATTTAATATTGTATTATATGTAATTTTACTGTCAAATAATGTGAACTCAATGGGTTTCGGAAATATGAACTGCCACATAATTTACGGTTAAAGACAGTAAAAGGACATTACCAGAATTTCTCGTGTGACGCATCATATATTCATTTAAATATTTTTGTTTCTTCTGTCTTGACAGTATGGCAGATGTAGCATGCAAAGTCATTTCAAATCAAATTCATTACATGCTGTGAAAGTAGTTAATTCAGATGCAGCCATTCTAACGCATGGCTCCATATGAGCTCATGCTGCCTTTTATTAAACCAACATAGGAAATATGACAATCATTTAAAAAAAATTATTAGGGAGAAAAAAAATTGAGGGAAAATAAAGCATCAGCACCATCTTTATAACTGCCTGTAGCCCTATGAAGTGAGCGATTTAACAAAGAGCTTTCTCATGACTTCAACGTTTGTCACACTCTCTTGTTATTTACTGTGGCTAGCAGAGGGTGCAGTCAGTTCGTTCTCCAGCCTGGTGTTCACCTGCTGGCCTGGAGGTCCAAAGGTAGGGCATGGAGGATGACTGGCTGCCGAGGGGCTTGAAGGGTAGAAGTGCACATCCACAGCCACAGAGGTCATGCCCAGGGACACGCAATGGGACAGCAGGAGGGGAGAGAAACCGTGGGAGATATTGATGCTGTGGCGCACAGGAGTTGAGGAGGGATCGCTGGTCTGGAGGGTCAGGGAAGAGCACAGGCCCTCCTCCTGGGCAGGTGCTGGATTGGCTGGAGGAGGTGAGGGGGCGTCCTGACCTGGTTCAAATTCTCTGCTCCTCCAGTCCTCCATGCACTGCAGCTGAATGTCAGAATGTGGTGAGGGAGTGACCTTCCCCTCCTCAAATATAGTCTCCAACTAATTCAGAATGGGG